GTATTCAACACATCAGGTATAGTTCACATTTTTTAAAAATTTCAGTGTTTTTTGTGATCTTTGCTTGCTCTAGAGTTTGCAATATATACATTATTCTCTATTTTATAGGATCTCGTTACTAAACTGTAGCTCCAGCTCCAGATTCACTTTGTACCGTTGAATGTTCTTACCGAAGCACAGAATAGTAAAAATGAATCTTCAGAAACTATCCACCTTGGTTTTTCTACAATGAAGAAAACTGAAGTCTGTGTCTTACTAGAATGCGGAAACTACTTAAGGAAAAAATCTGTTTCCCTCTACACACATTGCCATTCTGAAAACCCAGGGATCTAAAAAGACTCCAAGGCTTCGCTCACATCAGAGGTCCAAGTTTGTAAGTAGTCAGACTTGTTTTATTCCGTCCACAGTGTCATCTAGAAGGGGTCGAGGAGGCGGTGCTGTGAAAGCAGCTGGCCACGCTTTTGCACGTCTCTTGGCAATCCCTGTGGCACAGTCCTTTCTAGACTCTACCTTAACTACCTTAACAAGGAGACTGACGTAGGAGCACAAGGAGCACAGGCCCCCCCGGGGCATATCCTTCCGAGTTCAGATCCTAATTCGACCCCTTACGACGCGATCTAGGCCAGGACACCCAACGTCCTTGAGCCCTGGTTTCCTTATCAGTGAAATGGAGGTGAATCAGGTTTGATACGATCTAGGAAAGCGTGTCGCTCCGAGGCCTGGACAATGGTCCGCGGCCCAGGCCGCTGTGGACCGCCACAGCTCGGGCCTTAGGCCCAGCGCCGCCCAGGTTCCGCCAGCTCAGCAGCCAGAGGCTTGGGAGGCCGCGTTGCCTAGGAAACTTGGGCGGGACCTGGGAAACCACTGCACTGTGCCGAACTCGCGCAGGCGCTCAGCACGGGCTCCGCCTATCGCGAGAATCAATCCCGGAAGTTCCACGTCAGTGACTCGGCCGGTTCCGGGTCGGTGGGATTTTTGAGGCCTACGTGGCTGGGAGCCAGTGAGGGGCCGGGGCTCGGATCGACGGCACCATGGTAGGTCGGGCGCCGCGGAGAGAGCGGAGCCCACAGTCCCGGGCTCCCAGGCGGAGGACCCCGGGGAGCAGCGGTCTGCGTTCCCGCTACGGCCTGGCGGGGTCCGGTGCCGTTGCAGCCCCGGGAGGCAGGAGACGGGGTGGTTTGGATGCCTGCGAGGGAGGTGCTGGCACCTGCGCGCCTGACAGCGGACCTGCGGCGAGCACAGGGGCCAGCGGGGCAGGAGAGTGCGGGGGGCACCGAGGCAGCCTGGGCTACATGATTTCATGCTGTCCTTCGTGGTGACTGCTAATCCAGCACCCACGTTGCGAGTGGTGCTAACAGTGTGAGGACCACAAACTACAGACTTAGGCGGAGAGAAAAATAAGTCAAGTAAATGGGATCAAAAGTGTAATTTCAAAAGCTTTAGCAGACTCGTTTCGTAGGGGCAGAGAAGTGTTGGGGAAATTTCTGCACATTTTTATCATCGCTGTGACTTTCAAACGTGACCAAAAATACCTCTGCACAGGATTAGTATAATGAAAAAATACAACCATGTGAGAATATCTTATCAGAAAAAAGTAAGAAAAGTCAGTATTTTTATATGCGAACACTTACTTTTTTAATATTTTATTTTTATTTTATGTGTATGAGTGTATTGCCTACATGTATGTGAGTGCACCCGTGTCGTGCAGTGCCGTGGAGGTCAGAAGTGGGGTTCTGATTCCCCTGGAACTGGAGTTAAGGACGGTTTTTAACTCTCCATGTGGGTGCTGGGAATCGAACCCAGGTCCTCTGCAAGAGCAGTCAGTGCTCTTAACCGCTGAGCCATCTCCAGCTCATCCCGCCTGGTTTTTTAAATTTGCTATTTTGATAACTGAAGACTGTAGGGATAATAACTCCAAATCTCTTCCTCCAGTTAAAAAAATACTTACAATTAAATCTGTACAAGGCAAGATTGTGGAAAAGTTGGAACTAGAACAGAGTTTGGTCCATCGGGGAAACTGGTAAAACTGTGGATACCCCCAGAAAAGACCTTACAGAAACACACATTTTTGGCATAAATGTAGTGTGGGTGTACAGGTGTGTGTAGGGGGCCTGGAGAGATGGCTCAATGGTTAAGAACCGTAAGAACACTCCCTCTTGCAGGACTGGAGTTCAGTTCACAACAGTCATGTCCAGCCACTCACAACCACCTGTTTACTCCGGCTTCAGGGTATTGTAACCCTCTTCAGGCATCCAGTGGACATGCACACACAGGCACATCATCTAAAAAATTGTATTGAGGTTCTTCATAGCCCTTCCCAGGCCACCCTCATCTTGTATACTTTTTTGGGTTCCCAGGTTGAGAGCCACGCAAACACACCTTGAATATGGTCATTATACCACATATTACTAACAACTGGTGCTGGTTGGGTCTGCTGTACATGAAGTAAAAGACATTTTTAGAAAAGGCTCTTGAATCTGCCTGATATAAGACTCAGATATTTCTGTAGTGAGCTGTTGCCTTTATTCTGTAATGTATGTGAGTTCCACATCCACATATTCAACCAGCTTTGGGTTGAAGACATTTGGAGAACCATATTGTTTGAACATGTATGGACCTTTTTTTCTGGTGATTTTCTTTTTCCTTAATGTAGTATAAGACATATTTACAGCATTTACCTTGCATTAGTGTTATAACCAATCTAAGGATTATTTAAAATAAATGGGGGGCTAGATTATATAGAAATGCTGTACTATTTCATATAATTTCACTTGAACAACTATGGACTTTGGTTTGGGGGAGTGAGTACTGAAACCATTCTGTGGGCACCCAATGACGATTGTATTTTAAATCTTTAGAAGGCACAAAGCATGACTTTATTCACTTGCTCACTTATTATGGGAGTATTTACTGTGTCTTGCATTTTGCTAAACATTTGCCAGCCTGTTATCACAAAGGTGTGAGCAATGGTCTGGAATGGTTACTGTAAGCCCTGCTTGTAACTGAGCTCTCAAATTAATTCTCATAACACCAAGAGGCAGATATTAATATCCCTGTTTTATACAGATCAAACCTGAGATGTTAAGTAAACTTCCTCTGCACATCTGAAATGAATGGTAGAGCGGATGTATGAATATAGCATGACTGTGGACCTCAGTCACAGTGCTGCTCCTCCATCCATTCTCAAATAAATAAGGTGTGGAGATAAAGATGTGTACTAACAGTGACCCTGCCCTTAAAGAATATCTACTCTAGGGCTGGAGAGATGGCTCAGCAGTTAAGAACACTGGTTGTTCTTGCAGAAGACCAGACTTCGAATCCCAGCATCCACATGGCAGCTAACAACTGTCCTTAACTCTAGTTCCATGGAGTCCGACGGCCTCTTCTGTCCTCCGTGGGCATCGCATGGCATGGGTGCACTTACCTACATTCAGGCAATACACACATATGCATGAAATAAATAAATAAAAATTAAAAAAGAGTATACTCTAGAAAGCTAGAAGAGATGTGTGCACAAATGTACTGTGAATGGGGAAGAATCAGGCAAGACTAATGAGAAATGTCCTACTGATGACAATGGCATTTAAACTAAGTCTGGATTCAAGGACGCAGTGCGATGAGCCCCTTAATCATCTAGTGCCTAGTTACGAAGGCTTTGAAAACGGTTACTGAAATGTGACAGCAGGAGCCCTTGCCTGCAGTGATGGGACATTTTTGTTGTTCTTTTGTTTTAGTTGTTTTGAGACAGGGTCTCCCTGTAGTCCCAGCTGGCCTGGAACTCGCTATGTAGACCAAGCTGGCCTTGAACTCTCAGAGATCCTCCTGCCTCTGCCTCCCAAGTGCGGGCACTAAAGGTGTGTGCCACCACGCCCGGCTAGCGATGAACATTGTTTAATTGGTGTCCATGCTTTGGAGTATGTACAGCTGTTTTGGGGCTGTTTAAAGTTCCCTGGAGCATCTTCTGGAATATCATGTTTACTCAATAATCAATTAAAAACATTGTTAGGATAAAAAATAATATATAAGTGTCCAATTTCCTCAGCTACTAAAAGAAAAATGTTGAGTGTAGTGGCTTATGTGAAAGCCCCCACTATAGCTCCTGGCACAGATACTTCCTGCTTAATGACTCTGATGAGACAAAAGAAAGATGTTAAAATTTGTGACAGTAATTAGTGGACAGAATTCAGAACTTGTTGAAGTAAAAGTCTCACTTCCCTGAAATTAGCCAGCAATTTAAAGATGATGATTTTGAGGAGGACAGAAAGGCATAACAGGGGAAGTGCTCTCAAGGCAGTTGAAGAGTCAGAACTCAGATCCTGAAAGTGTTGGAAGTGAGGGAGGTGTGTGTAGAAATAAGAATAGAGTTTGAAGCCGGGCGTGGTGGTGCACGCCTGTAGTCCCAGCACTAAGGAGGCAGAGGCAGGCGGATCTCTGTGAGTTCAAGGCAGCCTGGTCTACATAGTGAGTTCCAGGACAGCTGGGGCTACAGGGAGACCCTGCTTCAAAAAGACAAAAAAAATAAAAAATAAAAAAGAGTTTGAAGTAGGACAGTGACCCACATTCGATAGAGGTCCAAAGGGAGGTGAGGAAAGCCTTGTTAGGTATTTGTCTGAGGAAATTACCTCTTCGAGAGCTGCTTTGTGCTGAAAAGTAACCTTCATTTTTTATACCATTCCTAATTATTATGGAAGATCACAGTGAAGATAGAACACTAACGCAACTTGCCAAGTAAACTTTCAGGCTGTGCTTTGACCTTTTGAAGGGCAATGCGCTTTAGATCAGTCCTGCCCAGCCTGCCTACAGGAGAGAAGAGACCAGTACTCTAGGGCATCGTTGTCTAAGGAATAAACTCTTCGTCTATAACAGCATTCCTGGGAGAAACAGAAAATAATTACTCAGATCATTTTCTGTTCTGTGGTTCAGATAAGGAACCTGACTGGAAAGGGGTGGTTTTAAACTATCATTATTTTATGACTTGAGAGAACACTTTTGCTTTTGTTTAAAATTGTTCTAATTTTTCAGTAGTTATCCATAACTTACATTGATAAAATATTGCAGATATTCCCATTTGACTCAAAAGCTCTTCATGCACATGGCTGCAATCCTTGTACTTTACTATGTGTCTTCCATTTCTCCCCAATTCTGTTTGAAGGACTCATTTAATATGGCTTAGAGTTACTACAACTGCATGAATGGCACGTCACAGTATTTTCTGGAATGGCACTAATGACATTGATTTGGTAGGCATTTAAAATGTATTTACCAAATAGTCCACAAACTAGTGGTTCTCAGTGTATCATTTGCTGTCCCTCAGAGGTCTCTATACTCTTCAGGAAGTCAAAGATGAAAGCAATTTTAAGAAACTGGAGTGATAACTCAGTGGTTAAGAGCACTGGCTGCTCTTGCACAGGACCCTGGTTTGGTGCCCAGCACCAGTGTAACAGCTAACAACCAGCTCCAACCAGCTCCAGTTCCAGGCATATGATGCCCTCTCTGGCTCTGACTTCTGCAGGCATTTGCACACATGTGGCATACATACACGCATGCAGGCAAAGCACTTATACACATAGAATAAAAATAAATCTTTTAAAAAAGGCAATTTTACCAGTGGTAAAAATCCCACGTCCCCTTTTTCTGTGTTTATACCTCAGTGACAAAAGGTAAGCCCACTGGTGCAGTGCTGGTGGTATGCCCTTTTTGAGACAGCCTTGCCATGTCTGCCCAGGCTGAACCTGAGCTCACAGTCATCCTTCCAGGTCTGTGATTATCTGATAATACATTCTTGGTTGCTACACAGTTGTTTAAAAACCAGCTTACATAAGAATGTCTGCTGAAACAGTAAAAACTGTTAATGCTATTACATCTCAACATTTGAGTGCAAATCTTGGTAAATATTCTATATGACCATATGAGGATGGGTAAAGTACTTCTAAAGTATATGTCTCTTGGACACGTTACTGTGGTTAAGAGGTCAAATTTCAAGCTTTATTTGAAACAGTGTCTGAGAAACTCTGTTTATTCAGACCTGCTTGGTAGACATCTGAAGTTAACTGGTCTCTGATAATGTATTTGTTATTGACGGTGGAATTCTAGTTTTCAAATGAAAATTAGAATTTTAGAGAACTTCTATTACTGAACTTTATGAATTTCTAATACTTAAAACTTTATTAGTTGAAGCAGATAGTGGAATTAATGAATTTAGTCTTTTGATACAGTATAATGAAATGTATCCTATTTTTGGATCTCTGTAATTCAGTGAACCAACATTTACCAAAAGACCAGTGCATTATGTTATAAAATCAGCCAGGAGTGAAAAATCTTAAACGTGTAGGATAGAGTAATGGTCTTTCATTTAGCCCAGTATAAACAATTGTTACTGTGGTTTCAGATTCCATAGTACAGGTATTCTTTAAGAAACTACTGTATCTCAGATTTAAATATGGTATCAAAGAATAGCCCATTATTCAAAAATGGTTAATATATTTCTCTTCCTAACTTACCTTTTGAGGCCGGGTGGTAGTGATTTTTGTTAAGCATCAACTGAAACAACATACAACAGTGCACTGAAGAGAAAAGCAGATATGAAAACAAACTGTCTTCTATTAAGTCAAATTTTAAAATTTTTACAAAATATAAAACATTATCACTGATCTTATTAAATTTCTCTTGAAAATGTAATTTTCATAAAAATGTTACCATATAATAATGAGTTTATTTGAAATTAATACAAAATTTGTTAAAGACTCAGTTTTACTTTTTAAAAGACATTTTCATTGCTCCATTGAGAATTTCATACAATGTATTTTTGATGTCTTCAGACCCCTTCCCTTTTCTCCTCCCCTGCCTTTCTGCCCCTCCCCCTGACTTAACATCGTCTATTATATAAAGGCCTATTTTGTTTAATTTATGATCCCCAAGTGTCTTGAGTACGGACCATCCTGTAGCGTCTGGTCACTCTAGGAAGCCAGCCCATAGAGAACCGACTCTCCGTTCCCAGCAGCTGCCAGTTGCTGATAGATCCTCTTTTTCTTTTTCTTTTTTTAGCACGGTAAATATCACTAGATATTTGCACATATAAACAAAAGCACTTTTGGAGTCCTTATAAATTTTAAGTGTATAAAGCGGGTCCCAAGAACTAAAATTTGAGAATTGCTGGCTATAGATATTCTCATTTTTTTGATGTGTGATTAACATAGGTGCTTTAAGACTTGAAACTATGTTCACAGTTTTGAAAAATGAAAACAATGATTTGTAAGCCTCTTAATGTACAGTCTCAAGCATGTCTTACTTGGTTCAGCAATTTAACTTTCTCAATGTGTTTTTCTCCTTAGCCTCTTCGACTTGATATCAAGAGAAAGCTAACTGCTAGATCTGATCGAGTTAAGAGTGTGGATTTGCATCCTACAGAGCCATGGATGTTAGCCAGTCTTTACAATGGCAGTGTGTGCGTTTGGAACCATGAAACACAGGTAGGAATTTTTAAAAACTTATTAGTAATTAGATACTAATTTAATAATGAAAGAGAAAAATCATATGAGTCTAATAGCTGTGTGCACACTGCTATCAACAAGTACAAAGTGTTTTGAATAAAGAGAACTATGTTTATCTGGATATTGCTGTGGGAGCAAATTTTCTGGCATATCCTGTATGATAATTAAATACACCAACTCTGATATAGT